TTCCACTTCTTTTATTTTTTTTTTATTTATGTCCACTTAATTTTTTTTATTTTTATATAAATAAATAAATCCCTTACACATACCATTAAAACAAGAATGCAGACAATAAATCAAAAAAGAATGCAGACAATAAATCTTCTATAGTTAATTAGTTAATTAATAATATTTCCCCAATATTATCTTTGAATCAAATGGAAATCAAACAACAAAAATCCACATCCAAAAAGTAAACGACCAATAATAAATTAATTAAATAACACCCCCAAAACTTAATCAAATGTCATCATAGAAGCATTTCTTAAAGGCGGCCATGTACTCCTCCTGCAGCCATATCGCGATGTTGAAGGACCCATCCCCGTCACGGCTGGGTATAATGAACGTCTTGCCGTCAAAGCCCATTGGGCCCGGGCCCATATGTATCTCCTTACCCCACCCGAAGTCGGCCCCATAGAGCGGCAGGCCCGTCCAGCTTATAATCGCCAGGTTGGGGTTCCCGTAGAAATCCCCCTTGGGCCGGCCGTTATTGTCCAGAGTCCTGAACCGGCCCACATCCGGCAGGCCCTTCAAGAAATCCAGGTAACTCCGGACCGACTCGTCCGTCACCTTCCCGACGGCCTCCCGGATTTTCCGGCAGGCGGCCCCCAATGAGCCGGACAGCAGGCTGCCGGATTTATCGGTGGCTTCTACGCGGATCAAGGCGTTGCCAAAGTAGTTTTTGGGTAACGGCGGATTCATTTTGCTGCGAAAGTCCGCCACGAAGTGGAGGCTCGTCGGTTGATCGGCGGCGTGGCCGCGGGCCTTGCTCGTGCAACGCCAGATGTGGGCGGCAACCGCCTCGAATCGACTGAAGCCACGGCCGACGTCGCCGCCGGAGGCGGCGGCAGAGGCCTGGTTCCGGAGGCTTTCGATCTGGAGGCGGGTGAGGCGGAGAAGGGAGGCGGCGATCGGCTTCGATTTTTGGGCAAGGGGGTCGGCCTCGCCGAGGAGCGTCGGCGGGGGGCGGAGCGCGGTGGCGTCGAAGGCGGAGGAGGGCGGCTCGGCAGATTCGAGGACGCGGCGGTCGAGGAACGGCGGGGCCACCGCCTCGGCGGCGGCGCGGGAGATCTTTGCCCATTCGTCGACGAAGTGGAGGGCGCTGGGGCCGTCGGCCATGACGTGGGAGATGCCGAGGCCGAGGGCGGCGCCGCCGCACCGGAAGCGGGTGAGCTGGGCGACGACGAGGGGAATCTCGTCGATCGGGGTGGTGTAGTCAAGGGAGGGGATG